GAAAATATTAACATTGGCTGATAAAACAGACGTAATTGAAACAGTAGAAACTGGATCAAGAAAGAAGAAGGATATTGCTAATAACCTCTGTTACTCGAAAACTCGATAAGTCGAAATCTCTATAACTCGAAGGTTTTTCCCCTTCCCTTGAGGTTCGAGTTATCCAGGTTCCACTGTGTTTCCAATTTTTGTTATCAGTATTTTTCCTTCGGTGTAGGTGAATTTTCAATTTTATCAGGATTTCGACTTTCAAATGTGGAGACTTTGATTTTGAACTGTGACAATTCCACGCAATTCCATATTTCATTTTGGCCGCACTCCAATATCGACAATTTTGATCGCAATTACGACTTCCAAATTCGACAATTCCACCTCCCAAGTGTGACAATTCCGCACAATTCTATGTTTGTTTCCGCGACAATTCCAAATTTCGTGCGCGGTCTCGTGTTCAGTATCACGCAATTCCAGCTACGGTCGTTCACGCTATTCCAGCTTTTGGTTCGTTCATCCAATTCCAGCTTTATTTCTACCGCAATTCCACCTTTTCCATTCCTTTCACGATTTTAGCAATTCTTATATTCGAACACTTCCATTTCATCAAATTCCCCTATTCAAATTCCTCCTAAAAATCTTCGCCAATATTTCAATTCTGACCGAATCCGGCCATAATTCAAATACGGCCCACACCCCTCCGTCGATATTTCAATTCCACAACAATCCCAATTCCCCATTAGCACTCCATTCCTGTCGCCGTTTCCAACGTCCTCACATTCGAAATAACCTTCAACCACCTAGGAAACAGTTCAGATATTAAATTATTCCACCGGTATCCATTTTGCCCCTTTCGACCCCTCCTCCTCAATCACCCTTTCATTCCTTGTACGTGTATATACGCACGTTGGTGCCGATTGCCAGCACCAAGAACCAAACCAAGAGATCGAGTGTGGAAGATAGCCAGCGAGGGGTGGGAGGAAGAGGGAGAGAGAGGTGAAACACGTTTGCATGGCATGTGGAAATGGAATCGTTGAACTCATAGAAGCATCTTCCTTTCCCGGAAGGGAGCAACTGCCGACACTTGAGGTCCAAACCCCCGGGGCGAGCCTGCAAACGCTTAACCCCCTCCTCCACCGCGTGTTTTCTCCGAAGAGGGTCGGTTTAACTGAAAACACGTTGCATTTTTCTCTCCTCTCGCTGCCTCTTCGCTCTCGTTACCCGGGGAAAATATATATTAGCGCTCGTTAGCTTCGTTCAAAAACCGTGGACTGTATGTCTGAATATTTCATTTTTCCAGTCGGTTTTTCTGTTTTCTTTTTTTTTGCCCCTTTTCTACCGGTAAATGTAGGATGTTCTTTTTAAATCTTTTTTTTTTTTTTTTTTTTTAAAAGGTGTTCGTGTTTGTATATGTACATACATATATGTTAGATACGGTTGATTATTGATTACTGTTGCTCTCGTGCGTAGCATTTTTGGTATTTTTAGAAAAGCGATGCTGGGAATTGGGATTGAAATTAATTGATCATTAATTAACAGATCGGGACTGCGTTATCGGGTTCCCTTTGTACCTTGAAATAATGGAAATGGTGGTGAATAGAAAGGTATTTTTGAAAGCTTTTATTTTGCAATAAAAGGAAATTACGGAATAATTAAATGGAAGAAGAAAAATCAGTAGAAATTATCTCAATGCTTCTTCACAGTCTTCAAACGAATAAAAATATTCTTTTATCCCACAAAATCATGTTGAACAGAGTTTTTAGAATTTTTTTATTTTTTCCTTTACGATGTGTTAATTAAATTTGTTCAATTCTAACAGTCCTCGCGATAATAGGGTGTGAATTGATCGTAACGTAAGATTCTCTTTAAGGCGAGATGTACGGTCCGCTGTGGCTCGTAGTATCTTGAAAGAGACGCGGTAGCGTAAGCGGTCCCATTCATAAACCTAAAATCAATGACGGATTGGTAGACAGAAATTCGTGGCCGGGGATTGGACGCGTTCCGTCGCCATGATGCCACCGCTGGCCAATCCACGCGCTCGCCTCCTTTTACATAGCTCGTGCACTCGTGACCAGCTCTCTATCAGTCTCTCTGTCTCTCCTATTTCTTTGTCTTTCCTCTCTCCTTTTGTTCCTCTCTCTATCTTCCTTCATTCTCTTCCTCACATCTCTCCCTTCAGCTCTGTTTCTTCCCTTTTTCTAGCTTCTCTTGAATTTCCCGTGAGTCTTCATTCATTCTTTTCGCAGTCTCCTCTTGACCCTTTTTAGGTTATGTTTTCTGTCATCGTTTGTCAAGGAAGATCTTAATTGTGTCTTATCCTCTTCCTTCTCAATTTTCAGATAATCTCTTCCTCTTTTTATTGTGTTTTTTTCCCCTCCAGTGTTCTCTCCAGCATCTTCTCAACCCCTTTTCTAGCACTTTTCTCTATTTCTCTTTAACACACTCTCATCTTTTTCCAAGTCTCTCTTTGTAATCCACTCTATGACGTGTCTACCTCTGCAGCTTCTTCTTGATTTTTTCCTTTCACTTTCTTTCTTTGTTTCCACAGTCACTCTTTAATTCATCGTCATTTTTTTAGAGTGCTTCGATTCTTCCTTCAGATTACGTCACTATAATGGTTTTTGGAATTTTCACATTTTTCCTATTTCCGGTTATATTCTATTAACTTACAGTACCGTAGTGAACCTAACCTAACCTTCTCACACAGTTTCTTTCTTTTGTTACCTCTGAGTATATTCCAGTCACTTCAAAATACTTTTATCATTGTGAAAATATTGAAATGAATAAAGTATAGCTATATTATAAATATTCCAATTAACCTAACCTAACTTTCTCGCACAGTTCTCTTCTTCTTTACCTTTCAGTGTATTGTAGTAATTTAAATGTACATTTCTAATTGTGAAAATATTGAAATAAAGAAATCATAACTATATTATAAATTATTCCCATATTATTATACTACACATTCTAATAATTTTCTTTAACTCTCCATGACGCCACGTGACTTGAAATTCACGTAATCCATTCATCTATATTTTATAAGTTTAATCCATTTCTTTATTGCTATAGTATTATAATAATTATTAATCCTTGCTTCTCACATTAAAAAATAAAATTATAATCAACGATAATTTTTCTTCTCTAAATATACATAATGCAAAAAAAAAAAAAAAGAACACAGTTTAATTGGGACGAAGTATCGAATGAGATTTACACATCAAAGGAGTTGACATCGTTTCCACGGTGGGGGAGAACCGCGCGAGGAAAAATTCCTCTGCCTAAAACGGCGCATAAAACGTGTTCCAATTCTCATTATGACGAGTCCCACGGTGCGGCAATCCGGCGGGTTTGTCTAGTTTTTAAGACAAATGGCGCATTGCGTGCACCAGGCAGGCGCAGTGCGCTAGTTAAACGACGAACCGAAGAAACTTCGAAAGCAGAACCGACACACACGTGGAGTTTCAACATTTTCTAACATTTCGATTCCAAGTATTTTTACGATTCCTGAAATTTTCCATCGCACGGTTTCTAACTGTTATTAATAGACTCGAATCAGAGAGATTAATCTATTCACGATCGATTGGTCGATTAATTGGATAGCTGGTGCTCGATCAAAGCGATCGTCGTCGATCGGTTAATTATCGATGGAATTAATTGGTATTTGCTGAGCATACTTTCGACTGTAGGCAGGTGACCGGAAACGGGATGGCTGGCTTGCGCTGTAAATCGAAGCGTGAAATCGAAGAAATGAAATCTTGTTGAAAATTTCAACTGACGATTCTTGAATAGACGTGTTTCATTTTTATAGATTGTTAAATAATCATTGTTCTGAAATTTTTCAGTTACTAGAAACTTTCTGGTTTATATTCTTTTATTGTATCTTAATTTTGTTTATAATTAGTATACAATATTTTCTTATCGTTAATTGAACACATTTTCAAATTCAGAATTATTGGAAATATTTCATTCCTTTCGTTTTAAATACAATTTTTCTCGTTTGGTAAAATGAAATTACTGTTTATTGTTCGTTTCAATTTTTAAAATTTCTGCCCTTCAAATTCCTACTTTTCAATTGTTTTTTATCATTCCACTTCTTTTGTAAAATAAAATACTCTCAAGTAAATGAATGAACGCAAACGTCGACGCAACTTGCTCTTTCAATCCACTCTTCTTTAATTCCCAACGCTAAAAGTGCTCCGCGTGAATTTTTTTGCGGTCTATCCAATAGTAAATTAAAAGAAAAAAGACACAGAAAGGACAAAATGAAAATGTGGAAAAACAGAACGTTCGAAAAATATTCTCTCTCGAAAAAAACAAAGAAAAAAAGATTTAACTTGACGAATGAAAACAATTGTGATAGTGTAATCAGTGTCGCAGAAGAAGGGAGGAGGAATTAATGCGTGGAGTGATTTACAATAACTATTAACGTCCCCTCTAGGAAGGGGAAACCGGAAGTACGACGTTATATTGTTCCGTGACTCTATGAAAAAGTGGGTGAACCCTCGGGCAGGCCATCCTTCATTTACAAACAAAGGTTCAGGAAAAAGTTTTCGAAGCGAAGACAATAGGAGTGTGGAAAAAGCACGCGAGATTCTCGATCCTCTTTCGACCTTCCTTCCACCCTCTTTCTTCCTCGTTTTCTTTTCTTGCTATCATTCGTCACGGTGAAATTTCGTAATTTTATCTCTGGAAAATCTTGCCCTGGTTAGTTTTAGGATTAGGAATCTGGAATTATTGAAATTGAGGAATTGTATAATTTGTTAAAATGTAATTTTCGAGAATATTTCAAAAATTTGCAACTTCCAAAATTGCCAACTCCTAAAATCAGTCAACTCTGAAACTTATCACCTCCAAAGAATAGCTTCTCAATAACAAACAAAATTAAATCCCCAATAATGAAAAATTTGCCATTTTCCGCAAAAAGCAAAATCAGCACATAAGATAGGAAAAGTATTTTCGAAGGCGTGAAGGAAAAAGAAAATAAAGGTCCCTCCTTTTGTTGTCCGCAGGTCGGGTCTAACTGAAAGCAAAGAGGAGCAAAACGTGGCGGATTCGGTGACCCCTCGGCTGTGACCAGAGGCGCACAGAGAATTAGGGCAAGGAAATGCGTGAATATAAAATAGTGGTGTTGGGCAGTGGAGGTGTAGGCAAGTCCGCCCTCACTGTCCAGTTCGTGCAAGGAATCTTCGTGGAGAAGTACGATCCGACGATCGAGGACAGCTACCGCAAACAGGTCGAGGTCGACGGTCAACAATGTATGTTAGAAATCCTAGACACAGCCGGAACGGTGAGTTTTTAACACACTATACGCCTCTTTTATCCTTTCCTTTATTATTTCGGCTAATGTTTCATTCATGAAATTCTAAAAATATAATCATCTGGCATTTTCATCCTTATACAAGTTCTTTTCAACATGATTGCTGTTATTATTATAATTTTATTGTTAGAAAACAAATTAAATTTTTATTGTTGGAAGATTTTCTAATTAGTTTAATTGTACGGTATTATATATTTAATTAACAGTACTTAGGTTTCACATTTTTATGTTCCATAGAAGATAATACTAGATAATAATTATACAAGTATTATCTTTTTTTATTAAACTCTTCTCTATCATTACATAATACTGGTATCTTCAAGGAAATAGATTAAATACAAGTATGATATACTATATTGTTAGATAAGACTACTAGGATCTTCAGTTGCAATGTTTCAAAGAAATAAAGATACATTGCTACTTGAAAATAATAATTTGTAAATATGTACTTATGTTAGATGATAGATAATACTGATAATAGAATGACTGTAAATCGGTACACTGGGAAAATCCATCTTATGAGAAACTTATACAAAAAAATTCCAAGAGAAATCACTAATCAGATTGTTCAAGTATCAATCAAATAATTCACTTTGCCTCTTACAAAGGGATCATAAATTATCACTGTCCTCTATTCTGCAGGAACAATTCACAGCCATGAGGGACCTTTACATGAAAAACGGCCAGGGATTCGTGTTAGTGTACTCGATAACGGCGCAGTCGACGTTCAACGACCTGCAGGACCTCAGGGAGCAGATCCTGCGGGTAAAGGACACAGATGACGTGCCTATGGTACTGGTGGGCAACAAGTGTGACTTGGAGGACGAGAGGGTAGTGGGCAAAGACCAGGGCGTCAACCTTGCCCGGCAATTTAACTGCGCGTTCATGGAGACCTCTGCCAAAGCCAAAATTAATGTTAACGATGTGAGTAGTAGTTGGACCTCCCTCTGCATCAGCCTCCGCTTGCCTTTTGTTCCATCGGTATAAATCATTGGTAGAGATGCTGATTATTGGTAGCCTTGTGAAGAGGATAGAATTGGTGAAAAGACATGTGGAAAGATGTAAAGTAGAGTTTGTTACTGTTAATTATCAAAGAGATGACTTACTTGTGAGTGGAATGGAACATAATTCAATAGAGTAGAATAGAACACTAATGGTGCATGTTAAACTGTACAAGATTTTAGAAGAAGGACAGTATTCGTTGAATATCCATGAGATAATTTATAGAGAGACACACAGAGTACTGTGAAATGAATAAACTGATCATTCGCTGTCTATTAATGCTGATTATATGTACAAAGAACGACTTAAGTGTTAAACTATGTGGATGTTATAGATTGGAATGGGACATAGTTAAGTAGACATAGAGAGTAGAGCAACAGATAATGCATGTGTAAGGTTCTATAAAAAGGGAAAAAATAGTTGTGCTGTTACAAAATAACAGTAGTTGTCTGATGAGAAGGCATTGTTGATTTTTAATTAGTGCTGTGTGTGGGAGTTCAAGACCGTTATGGAGGCTGAGATATTCTAATTGAATGTGGGAATGTAATCGCTAAGTGTGGGAGTGTGACTCGCACGTCGTTGCTCTCCGCTTGTGTCTGTAATTGTATGGTATGACTGGTAGTTTACAATCTTATTAAAAAAAAAAAGGAGAGAAAATAAATATCAAAAGAATCATATGAAAACACTTATTTCCATTACCCAAATTAATTTTTTATTTTATTGAAAAATACTTAATTATTCATCATATAGAATTGTCTTCCATGTTTTCTTTCGTTTCCGAGACGTCTATGTCGAGACGTTTCTAAAGATTCCACGCTAAACCGTATTTCAGGCAGTTCTGAATAACTTCTCTTTCCTGGAGAATTCATCTCCGGTTGCTGTGTTTGATTACTTTTGTTATTTCGTTGGCCCGGAACTACGATTCAATTGTATAATTGGAGACACCATTTTCTCGGTCTCTATGAATGTAGAATGGCATTGTGTGGCTTTTTTTTTATTGTTTGAAAGCGTGAAAGAGTGATTAAATTGCAGGGATTGAGTGTAATTTGTTTCTTTTTTTAATTTCTTATTTGTTTTCTTTTGTGGGATAATTGAAACAGTACAGCTTATTTTAAATAAATTTTTATTTACATCCATGTATCAACTTCAGTAAAGAATTTATTTTTTCATGAACTTCCACACTGAGACACACCAGAAGCATTTTCATTTTACTCAACTATCGATTAGACTCTTTGCATTAATAAGAATAATGTTCTTTCATGGGAACAGCTAACTTTTTGTACTATCACAGCTAAAACGGAGATAGATTCTACCTCATTAATAGATAGTAACTTATAGGTTATGTAGCGGTAGAACGAATAATCGCGGCGAAGTAATAATTGCTTTGACTAAACCTCTCATTTGTGTACATCCAATTTAAAAATCCCCACTCTTTTCCCTTAATCTGTATGAAACTTCAATTTTATTGAATCGCTACGAGAATTTCTAGATATAGTAATAAATTACTTTCTCTTCAAAACAATACTCTTCTTACGAATGTGTATTCAATTACTCTTAATATAGAAATTTAGTAAAGCAAAATTGTAGTAACTTCCTATTCTTTGATATATACATTTTCTTTGTATTCTGACGACCAACAAGATTCGCTGACCGTGATAATACCCATTCTGTTGCAGATCTTCTACGACCTGGTGCGACAAATCAACAAAAAGTCACCAGAGAAGAAGATGAAGCAGAAAAAGAAATCGCTGTGCCTACTTCTGTAAGGTAAATCTAGCAGAAGCCCGTACTCTCCTGCATGAACAAATAATAAAAGAGGGAAAAGAAACTATAACAATCAATCAACAATAACCAGCAACAAATCCGGACACAACCAGCGGATGACACAGGGGTTCAGGCGATCACGGAGCAAACTAACCTAGTTGACAAGGAGGGGGCTGACGGAATCTCGAGTAAATAGAGGGAAAAAAGGGCAACACAGTGGTGAAGATAGTTAGAAGAACACCAAAAGAAGATGGGAAACAAGAAGAGGAATAGGTTAAACGAAGACAGATGGTGACAAATGAAAGACAGGAACGAGAGAGAGAGAGAGAGAGAGGGGGGGAGAGAGTGGAAAAGGTTAGAGCGAGTAAAATAGAGAGAGAGAGAGAGAGAGAGAGAGAGAGAG